ATTTCTCCACGCGGTACTTTTTATACTTGTAGTCATTAAAGAACAATAGTATTAAATCATTTTCTGATGCCTAATTGCAATAAATTTGTTACCAATACCTTCCACTTCAACAGATTCACAAAAATGCATGTGTTGGTTTCCCCTCTCATATCCACATAAACCATGTGATTCAAGGTCATATGTACATTATAGAGACCATCATAGCCTTTCCTATATTTGGGTTGAATTGGGTGTTTATCATATAAATGCCACATAGCAGCTCTCCACCTGCATTGACTGCATATTCAAATGGGCAAAAGAACATCTCCCTGGAAGTGAAGCCAAAACAATTACATTAGTCTCAAACCTGCTTTCTGTGTTCTTATGAAATGATTAACGTCCAAATGTTAATTCATCAGACAGCTTTAGTTTTAATTAGTTATTTGTCACTTAAGAGCCACGGTTGCTGCATTCTTTTTTTGTGAACAAAGAGTACTATCTTACCTATCTATGTGTGTGTATGCTAACTGCTTACAATGAAATGGACGTAAATTCTCACTACAATGACAACTGTCACTTACAATGCAAGACTTCTGCTTCCTCCTCTGCTTCTGACTCAGGGGACTGAGACATATGAGGCTGATTTACACCTTCTCATGTATGCTGTTGTTGTCTGTGAAACCAGGCAGATGTCAATCAAAATATGATCTGCAAAGGCCAAACCAGGCTTGACATGCTCTCTAAATTGCATACGCAAATATACGACTAGTTTGATCTAGGTTTTCACAAAGTAATAAACACTTACTTTCACTTAGTTTTTATGAACTCTAAATGAGACAAAACTTTGATATAATTAGTGATTTTTTTTTTTTAAATCTTTCAATTCATATTTCCAGAGTCTTTAAGTGAGCACTGGAACAGTGATTCTTTATTATCTTCATTTGTATCCCCCTTACCTGTGTGTCCCTTCTTCTCTCTGTTTCCCTATCAGCCCATCTGTGCAGACTTTTTTTATCTCTCTTTGTCTTTCTTGTTCGTAAAACACACATCACCATAAGCATATTACCCTGAACAGACACCACAGGCAGCACACACACACACACACATACATACACACACACACAAACAGAGACCAACCTCTGCTCAGACATGCAGCAGGGCAGCTAATTAGTAAAGTGGCAGTGTGGTTTGTGTGAAATCACATACAGGCAATGTTACACACACACACACACACACAGACACTCACGCTGCCGGGGTGAGCTCGTAGCCTGCATGCTGCAGAGACGCTGCTGGACATCAGGACTGATGGTAATATTGATCAAATGAGAGAGAAATAGAGAGAGACGAGGGAGAGAGAGAGAGAGAGAAAAGAAGGATGGAAACGTGCAGAGAGGGGTCATCGAGTGTTGTCACATCTCGACTCTCGCCTTTAGATCAATACCACCTTCGTGTTTGCTAAGCACAGATCGTGTAATTGTAGCAATGGGTCACTCCATCTAGCGTTGTGAGAGCAAAACAGCCAGAGGACGCCGTGGAAAAAGGAGAGAGCCAGGAAGAGAGAGAAGAGAGGATGTGATTTGAAAGAGATGGAAAGATAGAAACAGAGGAGGAGATGGAGAGAAAGAGAGGTGGAAATATTGCGAGTGGTAGCAGGCGACCCAGTTCCATCACTGCTTGTTTGTGTTTGGGGAGGTGCGGCAGTTAAGAGCATGGAGAGCATGAGCAGGGGGGGGGTCGTGTGAAATGCACGCATTTTTGAGGACATTACGTCACTCACTGTACACACATGGCACACACACACACACACACACACACACACACACACACACACACACACACACACACACACACACACACACACACACACACACACACACAATAATACAAAATGTAGGCCCAGAGCTTGCATGCATAGTCAGGTCCTTTGGGAACCAGTTGTCACACACACACTCTGCATGCATGAAGATGAACACACATACACACACTGTCAACATGACTCTGATGGGTTTGAACACTTATGGTCATGTATATATTTTAAGGGATCTTTTAAACAAATATGGTTGAATATGATTTCTTTTATTTTCACTTTATTGCATCTATAGTTCACATTTATTGTTAAATGTTTCTGGTTGCAGCATGATGTATTGTTATAAGCCAATTTATCCCATTTGAATTTTTTTTCTTCACTTTTTATTATTGTAGACAAATTGATGTTGTCTGCTTCTTTTGAAGAAATCTGGCTTTTTTTTTATCAGTAAAAATCAGTAAACACCAAGAATGATGAGCTTTCACTTTAATCTAATTGAGGCTGATTGGATCCAGTTCCTTTAAGATCTTTCAAGCATGATGCACGATTCCCTGCAGCTCAGCCTGTGATGAATGATGGATCATGATGCTGTAAAGCCCTACTGCACTTAGCTGTGCATTTAGTGTCTACAGCGCACTTTTCCCTCGAGCCATCTGTGTTCCTCTGCTGATTAACAGGCTGTAAAAAAAAAAAATAAAATAAAAAAAATCTCCAAACATGGTGATAGCTAAAATGACAGGTTCATGGTATTATTATTATTTTTTTTTTTTACAAATCCCTACAGGACATTGCTTCTTTAATGTATCAGATCATTGTTTTATTTCACACTTCATTTTCCTATGTGTGAGTGTGGTGTTAGACGTATATGCTTGTGACCTTGTTTGCTTGCATGCAGGAGTGATTTGCTACACCTTGTGTTGATGTGGCGCAGTGAGCTGGCTCTATGACAGCGACAATATAAACAGGAGCCTCTAATGTGGGTTGCATGTTTAGCAGGAATCAGAGAATATGAAAACACATTGTACCTGCTCTCTTTGGAGCTATAAACACTCTTGTGGGAGGTTTGGAGCCAGACTCTATTTAATAGTCAACTTTACACTAATTTCATTCGTATTCATGTTCATGATATTACATATTTTAATATAACTTAATGTACATTTATATTTGTTTGCATGTTATATGTAAACAGATATAGCCTCATAAATATTCCTCTATATTTATTTATTTATCAACCCATGCTTTACAATTCACATGTTCAACATTTTCCTTTCACTGTGTATAATTAATTGAATATGATATAACTTTTATTGGGTCATAGTCAAACATTCGACACAATTTGTGCTATCTTATCTTATTTTGTCTTATCTTATCGTTTCCCCTAGCATCATATCGTCTCGTTTCAAGTCTTGTCATATGATGATTTTGTATCTTATTCTATGGTTTTGGATCATATGATATTGTATACAGCAGTATCATAAGAGATTGGATGGTATAAACTTGTATAGCGTATGATATTGTATGGAACTATATTGTGTTGTATCTTTTGGGGAGAAGCGTTTTTGGAGGACATTAAATAGAGTAGTGGTTTAAACAGTTATATTCTCATAGGGGTCAGGGGCTTTTGGCCAAGCCGATCCTGAAAAAAGAAATAAAGATGGGATCTTAAGGAGGAGTTGCAGAGTTAGGGTAAGACCAAAAAAAGTTGGGGGATTTGTAGGTGTAGGAGAAAGAGAGGGAGATATGGAGACAGTGAGTGATAATGAGCTGGATTTTGCGAGAGACTTGGCATTCTGCTCATGGTGCTCGCTCTGTCTGTCTGTCTCTCTCTCTCTCTCTCTCTCGCTCTCTTTCTGCTCTGTAGAGGAGCTGGCTAGAGTGAGCAGCTTCCTGTCTGCGCCCTGAAGCAGGAGTAAATGAGGGGTGGGGGGAGGAGGAGGAGGAAAGGGGGGGGGGGGGCGGTTGTGTTGGAAGCAATAGAACAGAGGAAGGAGGAGGAGGGTGAGGGGCAGGGGAGGGAGGAACCAGTGTTAGAAATTGAATGCCAGGGCGCCATGTTCTCACCACCAGCGTTTCCATGGTGACGGGGTAATTCTGGCGAGTAAGGAAATTTCATTCACTCTTGTATGAAGAGGAAGAAGAAGAAGGAAAAGAAGAACAGGAGGGAAATATCAACAAAGCAGAAGAGATAGAGGGGGGAAAAGAGAGAAACGAAAGAAAAAGCAAGGAAAATGAAAACCTCTGCTGGGGTTTATGCCACCCATCCCCCAGGCAGTGTGCGTCTTTCTTTCCTTTTTTCTTGTGTATTTCTGTGATGCTTGGTTTGTTTGCCACCACCCTATAAGCAAACACAACACCCACACACAAGCCTCCAGTTTCTTCCAGGAGCCCTGCAGGTATATGGCAATGAACAAAGAGAAATTCTGTTAACTGGCTCCTGTGTGTGTGTGAGTGTGTGTGTGTGTGTGTGTGTGTGTGCATTTTTGTGTGAATGTGTGTGTGTGTGTGTGTGTCTTCTTTTTGGGAGGACAGGAATTGGGGTTGGTGCCAGGAAAGGGTCGGGGGGTTAAAGAAATCAGTAGGACAGTGGATTGTGACCCGTGTGCTGCAGATTTGACCACGTTTGTCTTCAGCTGCTTAAATTTCCCAAGACGGAAAAAAAGGTTCAAACTCTGTGTATGCGTGTACAAACCTGAGCATGCAAGTATGTGTGTCAGCCTGAACAGATACACACACACACACACACACACACACACACACACACACACACACACACACACACACACACACACACACACACACACACACACACATACACAATCTTGTTCTGCAGCTAACTGGAGCTGACAACTGCATGGGGTTTGACTGGGCTGTCGCTGCAGCCAACCTGACAGCTGTACCGCCAAGCACCCTCTGAACACACACACATACACACACACACACACACACACACACACACACACACACATACATAACTTGATCTCCATTTCTGATGCGATGTGAAGGTTTTCTAATCAGCACATGCAGCATGTTTTGACAGAGATGCCATAAACACATGTAGTTAAACGCTGAATCATGTGTTGTTTATTATCTGCAAGCTGGTGTGTGCAGATGTTTCGCTATCACTGGATTTGTGATGACTTTTGTTGTTTTTTAAGTGAGACATAAAAAAAACAGAGAATAATAATTTGCTGATTATTTTCTGCTTGTGTTTCAGTTGCTGAGGAGGGGCTGTGGGAGTGCGGGCTTTCATACGAGTGCAGGACCCTCCTGTTCAAGGCCATACACAACCTGCTGGAGAGGTAAAAAAAAAAAAAACACCATTCCCCAGAAATACTTCTTTAGATACAGAGTGAAGGATTCTAAATGATATACAGGAACATTCAATCATGTTACATAACCGAAAAATTAAAGAGAAGGTAATGCAACCTACAAAGTGCTCTTAAGATAAATCATCCCCCCCAAACATTTCAGAGTAACTTCCAAACACAAAGAGTGTTTAATAAGAACTCCAACAAAATATAGTAAGGAGATAAATATATATAGAGCAATGCATTTTTAAGTATTTTAGACTATGGAGTAAAGCAAAAAATTGTCATGTTAATATGTGTTAATAGTAAAAGTTAGAACAATTGTCACACAGATTATTAGAATGTCACATTATAAAAACATCTTCTTATGTGTGCAGCTACTAAACAGGCTGTTGACTCTGTTTGTTGAATGTTTAAATAGTGATAAAATGTTTATATTGTTTAAAAATAATTCTATGTAGGGGAGTAAAAGTAGTAACTTGGCTTGGTTTATAGAAACATGTTTTTTTTTCATTATTAAGGCTTGTAATAAGCGACAGAAACTTGACGTTTTTGATGCAGTCAGTTTGGTTTAGAGAGTAATGGTGTGAAGAAAATAATTCAACTTTAGGAAGTTTCATTCTAACCTCATACACTGATATTATTAAGCAATAATAATTAAGATGAATAGAGACTTTTTGCACATCCAAAACGGATGCAAAAACTGAGCTAGTGAGAATCATTGTCAGATTATTTTTGTACTTTAAATTTGATAAAAAAGTTTCTTAATATTCAAGTTAATTGAAAATGGGTCCGTAAGATATAAACTCTACCATTTCTTATATGAACAACTCGTCCTGTTTGAATACTCTACAGAAGTGGCCAAACCAAATGAACGTGATGTCATGTTGACGGACAGCTTTTACTTTTTCTTCCAGCCACTTCACCTTAATGAAATTATAATCCGAGTGCTGAATCACTTGCTCAAGTACCCAACGCTCTCCTTTCTGAGTCAGAGCCATCTGTTAAATGAAGCAGCACATATTTGCTCTCTATTAAGTTAAGCATCACTGATCATCATAGGGGGCAGGCTGAATTAACCTTCCTATTACCTTGAAGCTAACTCCTTTTATAGCTCACTATTTGAACACAGGACGGATTGCCACTTCTTAGTTCCTCTCTCACACATGATATTGATCTCTGTCACCTGCTCTTATTGTTATTATTATTTTCATTTAGCAGTAACATCAAGTTAATTAGCTGGTAAACAGTTAGCGTTTCAGTGGCCTTGATTATTTAATTAAACAAGCGAGAGAAACATAGTAACAAAGGTTGAGTGATCCTTAACACTACACTAGACAGTGCTATAGCTATAGTGTAATGATATTTAGATAAGATAAGAGAGGAAACACAAGGGGCATTACTTTTGTCATCAGTTTATAAGATGTTTTATGAAGGCAGGTATACAATAGAGTTTCCATTGTAGCTGGAGACACCTGTCAATAAAGCACAAACACTCAAACCCTTATTATTCTCAAAGCAGCTTTATCAACACTTTAACTTTAAAGCTCCTGAGAGGAGTTTTTGGCTGGTTATGAAACAGACGTCAATTAACACTGATGCCTCTTTACGAGCTGCAAAAGCAAAGCAGAACATCAGAGACTACATTCATTGTTTCTCTACATGTAGGTATCTCTTAAGCCTGCAACCACTGCTAAGGAAATAGGTGTCAGACCCCCAGTCAAAAGTAGGATGAGATTTGTTTTGTTCTAAAACATGACCTGCATATGTTCAGGGCACGATGGGCAAAGAGATCAGAGGTACTGCTTAGTCCACAGGGGGTGCCAGAATGAACACAAACTGAAAGTTCCTCACAAGGGGTTTCAAGGACGGGTTGGATCGTCTCTAAACAAGCTGCCCCGTTGCAAACTTGCACAACAGCCTCAACCACAGCAGTGCTTTTCCTTTTTGCCAGACAGCTGTACTGTTTTCCTTCAGTGTAAATGCTAACCCACCTAACAACAGAGACAATGTGAGTCAGACTAGCGTGTGGAATGTGAATTACTGAGCAATTAAAATTAAATATTTGTCATTCCTTGATCCTCCCTATTGCTAATGATTTTATGACCTGCCGGTTTTATTTTGCTGGCTGTCTGAAGCACTTCGTAGCTGGAATTCAGAAAAGTGCCCCGTAACTAAAGGTAGTTATTGTTATCATTATTACGCCAGATGTTTTTTTAAGGTGGAGACAAAACAATGCTACAAGGACAGAAACCTCTGGATGTATCCTCACGCCGCTCTAATGTCTTCTTGATGTGCCCAAAATTGCCCGCTAACATGTTTGCAAAATAAACTAAACACAGATATAATATGTCAATGTGGCCTTTGCCGCTTTTGTGCTGCAGCATGTAGCCAAAAATATCAGTGTATTCAACTGTTTTTTGTTATGCATTTATGAATACACATATATGCCAACTGTGCAGCAATAAACTGTTAAAGAGAGCTGAAGTTGCTGTGAAAAAGATCTTGTGCTTTCAACAAATAAAGATGATGAGAAAGATAAATTATATCAGGATTCCTTTCAGTAAAAGCGTCATACTCTATGGATAAAGTGCACTGTTATCTCCCTCACTGTGTATTCTTAATAAGGGCTCCAGTGAGGTGACCCTGCTTACAGATACACTGATCCGATACTGTAAATTGGTATCAGGGCCGGTGCTGACCTTATTAGGTGGTTTTGGGAATCAGCTATGTGTGACCACATTAAATACAGTTTCGAGGGTAATGTTTTTATAAGATGAGTTGTTTCAGGGAGTAATCAGCTTTAAGATAAGAAAAAAAAAAAAGGGCAATGAAAAGAATGCTCCAAAGATGGTAGAGGAGACTGAAAGCTTTCGGATAGCTCAGGAGAGGCCATGAATGCATTTAGTAATTCCTCGACCCGGGTCAGAGGATCCAGCGGGGGAATTCTCTGGCACCTGCTCACAGAGTGGAGTCAGAGTTCTGACAGTGTCCAGTTTTGTCAGGAAAAGAGGCCAAAACGAGGTGAAGATGTGCACAGATGGCGGGATAGCCAAATAGGGAGCACGAGTGTTTGATGTGTCACATTTTGAAAAAGGTTTTGGAGAGCTATGTGTGAAAGTGTAAACCACTTAAGGGAAAGCAGATAAGTGGGGAGATTACTTTCCCTTTTGCACTTGTCATAAACTTTACGTCTCACACATTGCTCTGAAATATCATCCTCCCTTCTACATTATGAGGGCCTTTTTTATTTTATTTTCAAGGATTTAGTTCGAGTGGCAAATTAGACTGTTAAAATGAAAAGGTCAGAAAACACTTCTTACATTTGTACAGAGAAAGATCAACAAAAAGACACATTTTCCAGTTTTATCCCAAGGGGTCGCCTAAATTAACACAACTCAGAAGGTCCTCACAGGAGCTTATTTAAAAAAAATAAAGACATTTTGAAAAGAGAATATTCATAATAAATTAATATTGAATCCTCAAAAAAAATCATCTAAAAGTCAATTTTCTTCTTTTCACAAACGTTGCTCATTTTTGCTCAAGCTAAAAAAAAAAGAAGCGATTCAACCCATGCAAGATAAACTAAATATGAAAACACTTTCTGCTCATATGAGCTTTGAAAATCATATCAGGGACAGAAATAAGTTATTATGAATGACATTTTTAACAGATTTTTAAAAGGTTATTATTCTAAGAAAATAGAATATGATTGATTTCACTGCCTTTACCACCAAATGACGAGCAATTGTAACTACAGCCTTTACATTTCTAGATGTAGTTTTGTTCTTATGAGGAAGATACGTTTAGTTTAGTTTTATTTTACAGTTTCTGGTTCTTTTTCAACTTATCTTATCAATAACTTTCCCCTCTATGATTTCCTTTTTTTCCCCGCTGCAGATGTTTGATGGATAAAGGTTTCGTGAGGATCGGGAAGTGGTTTTTCAAGCCACATGAACTGGAGGAAAAGTCTCTGGGCAACAGGTGAGTAGCGCTTTAAACACACCTACACACACATGCCTCACTGGGATATTGTCATTGGACTTTTTTCAGCATGTTTAGTGTCTTCATCTACAGTATGTGTGTGACCTTGTGTGTGTGTGTGTGAACGTCAGAGTGTGACACAGCCGAGTGGTGTGAAGGCGTTCATGTGATTCAGCATTTGTCGAGCCTTCTCTCCTTGATGTCCCACCGGCTGCTCGTGTGTGTGTGTGAGAGACTGTTAAAAAGCAGGACAGTGAATGAATGGTGGTGAGAGGTGAGAGGCGAGTCGAGCTCTCACGGCTCTTTGGATGCGTGTGTGAGAGAGCGCGCGCGCGTGTGTGTGTGTGTGTGTGTGTGAGTGTCACGCTGTGTAAATGTGCACGCAGTGTGGGAGACAGACTGAAAGCGAGTAAGAAAGAGGGGTGGGTGTGATGACAGTAGCTCAACTTGTTGCTGCAGTCATTACAGAGCTCTCTCACAGCTCAGTGTGCCCACTGCTGATTCTCCTGCTGGTGACGATGATACATTCCTTACATTGCTAACACAAATACTTTTTTAAAATCAACGGCTCCTGGGAATCCACTTGGCTGTGAAATGGTTAACATTTACAGTAGAAGGGCTTTCCTTGAAAGGCAAAAATGTGGTCGAGGAAAAGTCAGCTCAGTCAAATCTCTGCACTTTTTTTCCCCCTGGTTTACTGATGCCCATATGGTTGTGACACCAATACAGACTTAAATCCTGTTTCGGATATAGCAGAATATAATAATAATAATAATGATAACTTTATTTATATAGCACCTTTTAAAAACACAGGTTTACAAAGTGCTTTGACAAACAGCAAGAACCATATAGAATATGCCAGTCAATGCACCGATTCATTACCTTCACCCATAAGCCTCCCAAAAGCAAAATGTTTCAGGTAAACACATAGCGAAGGTGTCGAGCTAGTTAATGTTAGTAGAAGCTAAAAAAATGTTAGCACTTATTATGTATATGCCAATATTATGTATCTTACTTTGGAGGGTACTCGGGGCTGGCCAATTCTTGTTTCCTAAGTCAAGGTAATGGAATCGGTGTGGAGAAGGAAAAAAAAATGTTTTGGATTTACATTTATTTAAGTTTAAACTTGAAATAATGGTATACATAAACTAATGTGTTAGGGTTACATTATTGTTCATCTGCTGTGTATGAAGGAGTGCACTGGCTGTAGAAAGTTGTCAACACATGTTAAGCTGTTCAGAGCTGCAGGTGGATGCCCCTCAGTGAGCCACGCCGTGTGATAGCTCATGAGGTTGTGTGTCACTTGTGTTGCTTAGTGTTTGAGGGATACTGCAAAGAACCCTGATGTAACTGTTAATGTGTGTGTGTGTCTTAGTGCTCTCTCAAGGAAAAATATTCTGCAGATACAAGTGATAAACAGATGCTGGTGCAAAGTATAAAGGCTTAAGCAGTGTTTTCAGGTATTTGTGCTTTTCTTGGGGGTTTATTTTTCCAACAGCTGTTTCATTTAATATATTTGAACAAATACATATACTCCTTACATAGAAAACAAAGCTGTCACTTTAACTTAGATCATTTTAAAATGAATTATTGATTGTGTGTATTGTGCATTATTGTGAGCCCGAATTCAAAACATTCTCACATTTCTCAACTAAAATGCATCTTTATGACAGTTTCTCTGAATATCTATCAGTGTCTATCACGCGTGACAGACGTATCATTACGAAAATGGCATTAAAGATGTAAGACATTAAAGAAAAGAGAAGGAAAGCGGAGCGCAGGAAAGAAGCGTCCAGAAAGAACAGTTACTTGATCGTTTGTTGAGATATGAATGAAAGTGAAGCAGCAAACATTGATATCTGAATTGCACTTTTGAGCAAGATCATCTTTAGTTTCATTTAAGATTTGTATTTAATTGACTTTAGACTTAAAGGTCTCCCAAACATAAGGTGAGGTCAATACACTGCACAGAAACAGGGTGATGAAATGTCCTTAAGAGGCCTTTTTTATACTGCTAGTACTTCACTTTTTCACGTTAACTTCAATATAGATGTTGATTCATTATTTAATTTTTACACTGGTACTACTTGAGTCAAGACTGTGATTTTGCCTTCTGTGATAACTGCTGATGGGTTAAAAACTCAATGAAAATGTTCAGAAACTTGACTGAGAATGAAAGGCCTCCACACGACACGAGTTTAAAGTATGTGAATCATATCTTAAGAGCGCCACAGTCACCAGGTCTCCACCTAAATGAGCTCTTATGGGAGATTTAATAGACTTGTAGAAAGAGCAGCATTGAAACTGTAGCTGCAGAATTTAAAATGGTCAAACATCCAGCAAGCTTGTACATTATGTTGGCTCAACGTGTCTGAATATACTGTTATGACATCACTGGCCATGGTCGCCCCAGATTAAATTTACATGATTGGTTTAGTTTTAACATCTTTTTATTTTTTATTTTCTGGTGGCCTTTTCGACTTTATAAGATAGGACAGCTGAAGAGAGACAGGGAACGTTGGGAGGAGAGAGTAGGGGATGATATGCAGCTTCAGGGCCAAGGATGGATTTGAACCCGCGGCCGCCGCGCTGTGGAGTACAGTCTCCATACATGGGGCGCTCAAAATAACCACTTGGCTATCGGCGCCTGTAGTTGTAACATCTTTTACTGATTCTGTCCGACAAGTGTTCGATAAGTGAGAGTGGATTATTAATTATCCAGTTTGAAAGCTAAGATTTTGCCTCATAGGGAAAATAAGTCCAAAATTAAACGACCAAATATAATCAAATCTAAAAGTTATCGAGATATTGAGAGTGCAGCAGGAGGATTTGCTGAAAGATCAGCATGTGAGGTTTGTATGGAAGGTATAAAAGTGTGACTACATTGCATCCTGACTTTGTGTACAGTATGTCATGTATGCACACTAACATAATGCAGAATTTCTGAAATCACGCTCAGGCTTTGAGTGAGTGCAGAGATTTGCATGTGTGTGGTGCCTCTTTAGTGCATCATGTAATTCCTCCACATTTTGACAGCTCTATACCAACATCTTGTCAGCTGGTACGCCCCCTGCTGAGCCAACCCCGACTTCTTCTGTCTGTGAATTATTGAACATCCTGCAAGGAGAGAGAGAGAGAGTCAGAGAGAGGGAGAAGGGAAAAAAAAATCTTCTTGAATATGTAGACACAAAGAAAAGGAAATCTTATTTAAGTTTGTCTGCAGTCTGTACGTTTGTAATACATTGTCTGAGAAATATGACATTTTTCCCGCCTTATATCTCCACTGCTTGCTTCCAGTATGCATGCCATCACACACACACACACACACACACACACACACACACACACACACACACACACACACACACACACACACACACACACACACACACACACACACACACCACCTTGTTCCCAGAATAGCATTGCCCCACAAATGACAGTGTGAGCAGCAAGAGCCCCTGCAGATCCCTGGCCGGCAGTGTTTTCCTGCCACGAGGGAACATTGCTCAGTTAGGCATACACTGACCTCCTGCCTCAGCTGTAACCAGCTCCTTTGTCTCTTTTTTTCACACACTCTTTTTGCCATTTATCACCAACAGGGGGCGCAAAACATCCTGCCGTGCCCCTCTTATAGCCGTGCCAACCCCTGAGCCTTGGCGCCGTCGTCTTTGTCAGGCTTATCTGGTGTTTATCTCGTGTGTGTCCCGGGGGCACGGTGAGGATTGGCACATCCAGGACACATCCAAACTCACCCTCCTCCTCCTCCTCCCAGTCCTCCTCCTCCTCCTCCTCTTCCACCCCCCCCCACCGACTCCTCTCTCAGCACAATATTCGTGCTCTCTTTGTGTCTCAATGAGAGGAAGGCTGCACTCTGTGTTGGTAACGGATTGCATCAGACGCTGAGGGGAAAAAGAGAGAGTTACAGGGATGCAGAGAAAAATGGAGGGAAAAAGGAAGAGCAGGGACGGGTGTATGGGGGGGGGGGGGGGGGCGCGGGGAAGATGTAGGGAGGTGGGGATCAGAGAAGGCGGGGGGTCGTAAATTAATCATTACAATAGACGGCTGAATGGATGTATTAGAGTCTCTCTCCTGCTCATTACTTCAGTCAGTTCTATGCATGCCAAGTACAGTACACAGTATATTTGTTCATCTACCTGCTTTCATTTGCATTAATGACCACATACTCATCCATAAATAATGTTCATTTTATACAGTGTAACAGAGAAACCCTCTGGTACTTAAAAGAGACACAAAGTACTTTTTTAAAAAACCACAGCTCTCCTCTCCTCTCCTCTCCTCTCCTCTCCTCTCCTCTCCTCTCCTCTCCTCTCCTCACCTCACTCTCCTCTCCTCTCCTGTCCTCTCCTGTCCTCTCCTCTCCTCTTCCTCTCCTCTCCTCTCCTCTCCTCTCCTCAAAAAAGAAAACATTTCCTCTGTTTTCACATTTGTTTGTTTCTTATCTCTTCACATTTTACCAGCAGTATAAATTCTGAACATGTGCTGTTTCAGTAATCGACTTACACTAAGATTATTTGTTCACATATTTGCTCGAATAAGTAAAGGGGATGGATATATGAAAGAAAGACAGAATCCAAAGTGGTAAAGAGTCCTTTTATACCTGAAATATCTGTAAATTCAATCAAGTAGCCTATAATCCTTAAATCCACAATATAAAGTTGTAGTTTTTAATGACCTAATTTGATTTATATCGGCTATTTGCAATAGTTGCAATAAGTGAGATTAAGAACAGTCACAACTGCTTGTAACTCTTTCAGCCTTTGTTCTTCATTTTTTCCCCAAACAAAGTAACGTGTTGCGTGACATGATTCTAATGCTTAATCTAAAACATTCAATTCATAGTCAAAAGTCAGTGCTTTCTTTAATTGTTTGGGGTGAATGGTGTAGGATAATCCAGATGATCCCAGATGTGTTTTGTGTGAAGATTGTTTAACAGTGGTTATATCAGAAGCTGATCATTTGACTGGTTACAAAGGTGA